TGCACTAAGATGCTCAATACAAAAGTTTTCAAATCCAGCGGTCCTGACAATATTCCTAACCGGATATTATTAAGGATTTCGCGTACGAATTGGCCGAACCTGTATGTCACATCTTTAATACATCTCTGTCCACTGGTGAATTCCCTAACATATGGAAAGATGCATTAATTACACCAATTCCTAAAGCGCCATCCGTATCCTGTGAGGAGGAGTTGCGCCCAATCTCCCTTACAGCCTCTTTGTCCAAAATTCTTGAGGACTTTGTGGTCAATTGGATGGTGGACGACGTGAAACATAAAATCAACCCGCAACAATTTGGTTGCCTTAAAGGAACCTCTACAACGTTTTGCTTGATCGATATGATCAACAATTGGCTGAGAACATTGGATGATAAATCGAGCTATCTGCGGATCGTTTTCCTCGATTTCAGTAAAGCGTTCGACCGCATCGACCATAATATCCTGGTCCCAAAGTTACTGGCCCTTGGCGTCAGATTGTCGCTTATTCCATGGATATGCAGCTTTCTCTCAAATCGCCGTCAATCGGTAAAGATCGACAATTTCCAATCTGATTGGGGCATCAATAACGCAGGTGTCCCTCAAGGAACCAAATTGGGCCCTATTTTGTTCATAATTATGATCAACGATCTTGAACTGGCATCCTCTAACACTGACCATTGGAAATACGTGGATGACGTAACAATATCGGAGTCCTTAAAGAAAAACGAAGTTTCAGTCCTACAATCTGATCTTAACACAATTGAAAGATGGACTGTTAATAACAACATGAAATTGGACGGAAAAAAATGCAAAGAAATGATAGTGAGTTTCGTCCGTAGCGAGAATGACATCCCCCGACTCCTCATTGATGGTTTACCTCTAGACTTAGTTCCTTCTTTCAAAATTTTGGGCTTAACCATGAACAATAAATTGAAATGGCAAGATAACACTGAAGCGTTAGTTAAAAAAGCCTCAAAACGCTTATACATTATTCGTGTCCTACAGCGCTGTGGTCTTCCCCCCAATGACCTCTTACTAGTCTACTTTTCTATGGTGCGCTCTATCTTAGAATATGCCTGTCCTGTCTGGCGCACCATGTTACCAAAGTGTTTGGGGGATAAAATTGAAAAAGTTCAAAAAAGAGCTTTCCGTATTATTTATCCGACAACAGATTACGAAGATGCTCTCAACATCGCTAAATGCAAGCGCCTTGTCGACAGACGTCAAGAGCTATGTGCTAAAACATTCAAAAAGATCTTAAAACCCGATGCTCACCTCAACCACCTCTTACCCCCACTCTGTGAAGAATCGCATGAACTGGACTTAAGAAACAATTCTAACTTCACATTAACTAAATGCAGAACGGAACGTTTTAAAACTAGTTTTATACCAGCAATGACTGCTAATTTTAATAGTAAATAATTTGTAGTATTTTAACAACTGTACATATACGATATATTTATATTTATATTATTTGATATTCATCTTTTATTATGTTTCTGTAAGCATATTGCAATTCACCTTCGGGTGCCAAAATGTGTTTCTTAATAAACCTTTAATAATAAACCTTTAATAATAATAATAATAATAATAATAATAATAATAATAATTATTTCGGACAAACTTTGGGACAAGATACCTTAACATAAGGATTTCATTTCGGCTACGATTTCGTCGGGTTCTTTGCGTTGAATGTCATTAGTCCCTACATATAGAATCACCAGTTTGGGTTGTTTCTTCATTGTGGATTGTATGTAGTGGTTCATGTCGTTAATTGTTGCTCCAGGAAATGTTTTGATGTCGACTTTTTCGCCTATTGATCGACTCAGTTTAGGTGGTCTAATCATTTTTATCATGGAATCCCCTAAGACTGTTATGGGACCTTCGGATGTCTTGGACTTGGAATAGCTATTCTGGTGTGAAGAATCGGAAATAAGAGTTTTGTCAAAAGTTGATTCTCTATTGCCGGGATTCTTGTAGGTCGTGATCGGTCTGACATAAGGCGGGCGTTGTCCTTCTGTTGGTTCTACATCGCTGTCACTAAGGACTTCATATCTGTTAACATCCGCGATACCGGCGACCGTTTTGTGGGCATCCTTGCTAACGTTTGGTTTCTTATTTCGAACAACATGCCAGGTGTCAACTTGATTTTGGGTTCCACTAGGTTTGAATTGATCGATTTGAACCAGCTTAATTGTCGTAATTAGGCTGTTTTTTTCGTTCTCCGTGTCTTTAACTTTAGTTTGCAAGTCTGCCAGAGCGTACATATAATCGCATTCCCTTGGCGTAATTCTAAGTTTTCATTTTTAAGTTCGTCGATTTCCCGTTTGAGGTTGTTGATCAGATCAATTCGTTCTGGTTGACTTCTATTGGCCTTCAGATTGTTTACTTCTTGCGAAATCACCTTGTCGTCTATTCTTTGCATGAATTTACTCAAGAGATCGTTTATCAATGGATATTGTTCTAAATTACTGCATGTTGAGTCACACGTGGGATAGTTTGTGGATGGGCCATAGTTTTTAATGAATCTTTATGTAAATCACTGCTATATTGCAATTCGTCTTGACTTTGGCTCATCTCTTCTTCTTCGTTTCCCAAGAGGGAGATGAAGTTTGCTTTAATTTCACTGGCTTTATTTCTCTTGAAAGTGAGTTTTCATTAGTTGAATACCAGCGCGCAGAAAACTCTTCGCATTCATACAATTTCGAGCCACCGCCTGGAGTCATCCATTTGGCTTTTGGTAATTGCAATTTCTCGACGAGATATTTTAGGCTTTCAAAGCTACCGAACCACTTCAGGGTTCCATTATCAGAAATATTTAATCCTTCTCCATATGTTGTGGCTTCATCTGTAGTAGACGATGTGAATTCCAGCTTCATAGACGACCCATTACATATTTCATAGCCGCCTAGCGTTTTCTCAACATCGAGTAATTTGTCCGTGAAGAAAAGTCGCTGCTGTTCTGAGGGAAATTCTAGCTTCTCTTGAATTTTATTCTGCACATATTCAACCGTAGTGTTCGACTCAACTTCTAAGGTACATAGTGTTACACTTCAACTGTTATTCACATAGATTTTCATTGCCGCTTTAATAGATTGCTTGATTTCGAACTTGAAATTAGCGGAGCACAAAATACACGCCTGCTCTGCACCGCTGTTTAATGTGTCCAACAATAGCGGTAAACAGCGCTGTCGAAATCGATCCCTGAGAATGTGGTCCCCTTTCTTATATCGCGCGATTAATTTAGGACATATGCAGCGAAGAACTACATGCATTGGTGCGTTCTTAGAAGTCAAGCGAAAGGGCAAATAGCTTTGTGTCTGCTCGGTGCAGGGGAGACCTTGCAGCAACTTGTAAGTGATTGCTTGGATTTCTGGAAAAAGCAGAGATTTCGTTTAGAAAACATGTTGGCATCGGCGATATTACCAAGACTTTGAGAAATATTCCTGTAGACAGTGTATGTGTCTCAATTTTAAACTCTACGCGTGTCAAGTCGTTGTTGGATAACAATGTACTTGACTCTGGAGTAGAAAAGTCCTATTCTGCCCAGAAATTGCTTTTAGAAAATATTGTGAAGTTATACTTGACGGCGCGATCATTTTCTATGGAAAAGATTGCAGAATATAAAATGAAATAGAAGTATAAAATAGAAGGAAAACAAACGAAGTCAAAGGCCATTAGAAAATACTAAAATACTTAAAACGAAGAAAGGACTCTTAAGTTATAATTAATAAATCTCAAGAAATATTTACTGTTCATTTACAGCTTGAATATTTACAAATTATGGTCAATAATAACTATTTTACCTTGTTACTTGTGTTTATACTAGTAAGACAACGTTTCATTTTAATCAATTACCATATTACATTACACAAGACATTACACCTAACACCTGCCGTTCCGACATGTACTAAAACACGGAACACTAATCCGGAACAGCCTGGACGGTTAAAACCTCCGGAACAGCACGGAACACCTCCGGAACATCACCGGAATAGCACGAAACAGTCCGAAACAGCCAGAAAAACTACCGCAACACCTCCTTAGCTATGGATTTTAGCCATTTACGCGCCAAATAAGGGCTATCTTTAAAATAGGGAATGGGGGAATGCTACAATTTCATAACTTATGACACGCATTAAAACGTTTGCAGTGAACGTCTTTTGTTGTTTCAGACTATACTCATAACTCGTACTCGTGTTTTTAGGTTTTTTTTTCAATTATCAAAGCATATACTGATAAAAAAAAACTCTGAAAACAAGTTATCTTAAAATATCTGTTTGTTAAAAAGAATACGCCAGGACTCAAGCCATTGTTTCATACAATTAATATAGTCTAATATATTGTATTAACATAGTTAATACAAAGTATAGAAATAAGTTTTTATCAGGCAATATACCCTGGAGTCCCGAATTAATGTTCATGTTGGTTTGAAAGTGTCATGCATACGGGCGAAATATCCGTGCTCCAATGGCAGAGACCTCGTGGTTCAACAAGAATTCCCACAATTTTTCAAGTTAGAACACGTCCAAAGGCTCGCTGGAGAGTTCGGCTGGGTCCTTTAATTTTGTTGAAAAAAGATAGAAGGTGGAACAGTGTTTTCTTCTAACTAACTATACATTATGAGTTCTGTTGCTTAGCACAATTATAGAGCTCAGTATATATATATATTCAATGGTCGGTTGTAGAAAACCCGTTTAGCGTTTATATTAGTCTAAATATTTTAACTTGAAAAAAAAATTAAGATTGTTTCATGTGAAGAGTATTTAAACTTTTCACATGAAACAATCGTAATTTTTCTTAAAATTTTTTTTTTTAATTAAATTTTTTTTTAATTTAAAAATTTTGGCGCCCGTGCGAAATGTAATGTTTTTGATTACTGATAAACACTGAGCCCTTCGTTCGGCTTTAACGGCTTAAATCGTACTACATAAAAAAATGCTATAGACCATTTCTGAATTAGGTTTCATATTGACCACAGACACTTGTCAGACACTCACGTTTTTGAGTAGTAATAAGCACTTAGCTTCAACCTAATGTTATTCTAGAGCGTAATTCGGAAATGGTCTATTAATTTTGCTCTTAATTCAAGTCTCCACTGTACACTGCCTGATAAAAAGTTATTTTTGTACTTTGTTTTGTTTAATTATGTTAATACAATACTAGATTATATTAAATATATGACACAAAGTTTTGAGTCTTGACATATTTTTATTTAACAAACGGATATTTTAAGATAACTTCTTTTCCAGGTTTTTTGTCAGTATATGCTTTGACAGTCGAGAAAATAACTGGAAACGCGAGTAGCAATATGGTATACACTCAAAATATAACACATTCTACGATAGGGTTGCATATTCTATTTAGCTATAATAAAAATAATGACATGTACAGTTACGGCCGCCAAGAGGGGGGGGGGGGCCCTGGGCCCCCACCTTAATAGGACCCCAACTTGGAGCAAGAGCCTAAAATTGAGTATGTTTTAAAAAGTGCATTTTTGAAATTGAGGGCCACTTACAGCACCTCCACATGCAGTTTGCTAAGGTTTAGTTGGGTCCGGCTTAAAAATAATAATGTCATGGGGCCCCAGGGAAGGTTTGCCTCGGGCCCCGCAAATTCTCTAGGCGGCCCTGTGTACAGTATAGCTAGCTATTTAATTATACATATACAACAACAACATATGTATATATCTATATTGACTAAAGTCACTTCATTAGACAGTACGATATACAGTAGTAACAACTAAATTCAGTTTGAAGAGTTTCTTCTGCCCTATAACTATATTGCTTTAGGCAATTTTAGGACCCAGTAACATGCAGACCACTGCAGATAAACTAATCCCACAGCAGCGATGAATAAATCAAAAGAGTTTATCTTCACAAAACATTACATGGTACTAATTGTACCTTTTTGTATAGCTGTGCTACTGTCAATCTCCTTTATCAGGTGGTCTGAACTCTCTATGGTTAAACCCGGTTCTTTTGAGTTTGATGTACTACAGCATGCAAAAGTGATATATCATTTGGTTTACATCCATCAAAAAGAATGGAAAAAAACTATAAGATCTTACAGGCATCCTTAAAATGATTACAGATTTTACTGCCAATCAAAGAACACATGAGAATCAGATATATAATGGCATACCGTCAACCTCCACACATATGCCCTGGGCTTATATTCGTTCGTAAACATTTTTTGATGGGGGCTTAATATGTACAGGGGCCATATACTTTTATTGTATCTGTAAACAATGTGAAATGTGAACCATTGCCTCAGTCAAGACACGTTCATGACCACTGAATATTAAAGACTAGAAGCGATGAACATTCACATGTTGTACAGTTAAAACACAGACAAGAAGGGATATGTATTTTAAAAATGTAAACAATATTCTTGGGACCGCTTCAAACGTTCAAACAAATCTACCAACCTGAAATTCAGAAATTGGCACTATCTTGACTTGACCATGATCTGGACCTTGGCAGCAATTCAACAACAACGCTCTTCCTTCGATTTAATCTTTCGACAGAATCGACTGTTTAGCTTTAATTTTGTTAAATATTTAATATTTATGTTCATTATTCATATCCAAGCACTCTCCTCACAAAGATTTACCATAGTATGGCTATTATAACGCTAATATACGCCGTTGAATGCGATTCGAATTCAAAATGTATAGATATTGTGCCCAAAGAACGAACAATAACGTTAACCAACGATTTATGAAAAGAAACACGACGATGTCCATAAAAGGACATAATCGAAACAGCTCGCTTCGAGTTCGGTAAAAATAGTACCAACATGCTTTGCGAACCGGGACTTTTGCCTGTCGCCATATTTCATATTTGCGAATATTCAAATCGTTTGCTTCTTTATCGCCGAAATATTTGAATATTTATTTCTTCTCAACACAGGAATAATTAAAGATTAAATCAAGCAAGGTATGTACCACACAATTGCTGTTTATTTCCCCAGAAGAGAGGGAACAATCTCATTATCTCAGGAGTATATTGTAACGGAATTTTATTTTGCTGGTTTACAACTCGTGTATAAAATGCACGAGGAAAATTTTGGCTTGCGTTTAAATAATACAGTAACAATTCCATAGGATGTTGGCCTCTCTGCAACTGATTTATTTCTTACAAAGACAACATTTTTTCTTCGCTTGACAGCTTTTTGATAGTGTAATATTTATAACAATATTTCTTGGGCATCTCGCTTGATTGAAGTCAATGAACTTAATAATATTGAATTATGAATGCGAAGAAGTTTGTACATGGTCTATAAAGAGTAGGCTTTTCATATCCAAGCATTGCCAATGGAGGAATGGGGTGAGGGCACTGAGGGGCGATCCCTACATGTTGCTTCAAATTAAATATGTACATGTACCTTGGTCATTTTAACCTGATTTGCATGGCCTGTTCAAATGAGCCATAATAATATTAGCATAGAAAATTACATTTTGTTCATGTAAGGAAGCACAAACTATTAGCCCAGTTGGTCAGATCCCATATTTGTTGAAATGAGAGACCGGGCATTTTAATTTTAATGAAAGCATTGTGAGAATTATCGGTGTTCTATCAATAGGCATGTAGCATCATTAAGAAAAAGCTAACTGCAACTACTAGGGCATACAAGGCACTGTTATCAATGTTTCTAATTTGATCCATTGATGAGGATGACTAAAATATAATCGAAAAGTAGAATTACCATTGCGTGCTTTTTGAAAGTACCTAGTGCTTTCCATAATCACCATTCATTAATAATATCAAATCCTCCTTAGGATTATGTTGACGAGGGCTATATATGTAACAAACCATTCATTGGTGATGCTAGATGATCTTCATTCAAGATTCATTATCGGAAAGGAATCACCAGCAAGAAATGGTCTTTTCATTGGCTGATAAAAATGAACCTTGGGCAGATGTTTGCCAGATTGTATATTTCTTGAAGCCTTTGACTTGCATAAGGAAAAGAAAATATATACTGACACTACATGCTAGATGATGAACTCATTGTTGAAGAACATTTTAGTATTGTTTATATAAAAAAAAAGCACTGTAAAGTCACCTTGTACTGGACAGAGTAATGTAATAATTGCAGAGCTCGGCAGAGCTAATTTACATTACCATTTGCAGTCTAAATGGTAATAAATGTGATATTTTACATTCATCCAGCTTTATTAAATAGCTTAAGATCTACGACGTCGACGTCAGCTAAGACGTCAGGGTTTTGCAGAGGACTGGGACTAGGATGTCGTCCTAATGTAATCCCAGTCCTCTGCTTAGACTTGACGTCCTAGCTAACGTCGACGTCGTAGATCTTAAGCTATCTATTGTCTTACATTTTGAGGAGCATTACAGTACAAAACATAAATGTGCCCTACTTGCCTACTGCCCTTTCATTATATTACTCTATCTAACAACATATAAGGTTATATTTCATTAAGGGGTTGAGTCTTATTAATAGTTTATTTGTGAACTTATTTAAATATATATCATTTTGATATTGAGCATAATAGTTTTCACCTAAATACATTGGGCTTTATATATTTTCTATTTATGTGTATAATGCTAAATTGAATAGAATATTATTTTTTGCTAAAATGTGTTGATTTAGGTTATGTTAGATGTCACTAAGATGGTTTCGATAAATCGAAACATTGACATGGTCTCGATAAATTGAAACATTGACATGGTCTCGATAAATCGAAACATTGGCATAGTCTCGATAAATCGAAACATTGACTTGGTCTCGATAAATCGAAATATTCACATGGTCTCGATAAATCGAAACATTCACATGGTCTCGACAAATCGAAACATTGACTTGGTCTCGATAACTCGAAACATTCACATGGTCTCGATAAACTGAACCATTCACATGGTGTCGATAAATCGAAACATGGATATAGTTTCCATATATATATAAATTGATCAGAGATGCCTTCGGTTAAACCAACATATTTTCACTGTTAGCTGTCATTCTACTTTTGCATTATTTGATCCTTTTCAGAACAGTCTATTAAATGTATTGTTAATTTTAGGTAAATTTGATTGTTTTAGCAAGAAAAGAAAATTTGCATTCTTTTTTTGCACAAAAGGTGTTTTTAAGCACCAATTTTTCTGTTTTCTTCAATTTTGGACAAATATGTTTAAAAATACGAAAATTGGCACCATTTTTGGCTAAATAGAATGTTGGACCCTATAGTAGAACGTGTTAAATGCATTACAATACTATTTATTGCAAAAGCTTGTGAAAGGTGCTTTTAAAAACAGCCATCATTTTTCTTTAAAAACTACTGCACTTTCTATTGCCTCAGTAAACAGTGCTGACATAGGGTAGTGGTTATTCAATCATAGGCAGACTTACTGGGGATAAAAAGGGTGTGTACCCCGTTTATTAGTTTTTAGCACCGCTTAAACAATGCTATGCCAAAACAACGAAAAAATCAAGCATAGATACATCGTACAATATTGCCCTTACTTCCTCATAGCACCAATAATGAAAATTTATGATGAATGAACACCCTTGCTTGATAAGGGTTGACTTTAGTCTTCCCCCCTAACTCCCTCGTCTATGTATAAACACAATAAGATTAAGTGCTTAGCTCGACAACATTACAACAATACTCAACAAAATGTTTTAAAATTTATACACAAAACGATTATCTGCACAAACAATAAATTTGTCAGAAGATATAATTAATACGACATACCGTTTTTGCCCATTTTACTAGCAATATTACCCCAGGTATACTTCTTTTTCGTTTGATCTTTGTAAGATCGAAAGGCTGTGTTCATAAACACGGTTCGTCTTTCATTAAATCTATAAATATTTAAACATTGTTTTTGTGCGTTTGAACAATGGAAAGATTTTGTCTAGTGCTGTTCATATGTTATAGCAATGTCTTCGTGAAACTCTTTGAAGTCGTCCATTTGAAAATTTCGTTCGCTCATGTCATCGGCAGCCATCTTTGTTTGCTTGAAATTTTGATTTTGCGAGCGGATTTTTGTTAGCGATCGCGCGTTCTTCAAGTCTTTGCAATTCAAATGCGCAATTAGAAAACCGATCGGAAGAAGAGCCACATTTTCCGCTGAATGGAAATCCGTCTTCATAGGAAAGCAGATCAGGCCATAACTAGGATTATGAAACAACCGATTCGACCACCGAAGGTGCAAGCCTCTAGAGTGGTCTGGGCCATATGCCCGACACCCAGAAAATTTTGGATTTCTTGAAGCTCAGATAAGCTAATAAGATATTTCCAGCATTTTGAGGAGTTTTCCAACAATAAATTAACCTTACACTAGTCTCTGACAATCAAACCAGCTGATTAATTGTACATGTGTACCCACCCGGGGGTCGAGGCATTCGCACCCATTAGTTATTTGGTGTATACCCGCTCAAAAAGACAATATGGGAAGGGCTTGGTATTGTTTATAGAGGCCTGTTAATTAAATTAACATACATAATAGATCCTTGGCGTTAAGCATTATACTCGATGAATAAAAATTATCCTGCAGGAAAGAACCTTTGTCTTGTTTCGTATCTTGAAGGCTCGAAGGGATTTATTGGACAATATACGGGAAAAATCTTTCAACTCCATCATCGCAGACAAATCCACAGTCGACTATGAAGTTTCGGACAACTTGTGGGAATTTTTTAATGCACTGAAGTTTTATGCGAAATACTGCGATGGATTTTGACGAAGCTAACGCAATGAAATCTTTGGCAAGAAAGCTTCTACATGATGTTGTTCTAAACGCTTTCTATGTGCACTGTTCTGCACATTGCAATGAGCTTTTCGTTAAAGATGTGATGAAACAGTCACCTTTGTTGTCAACATCGCGTGATCTTTGTCAAGCTATCTGTGATGGGATTGTGGGTGCGTACTCCAAACGCACAGGGGCGGATTTAGGGGTTGTCAAACCAGTCACGCGACTAACGTAAAAATTGCAAACTTAATTAAAGTCTTAAATATTCGACCAATAGTCCAGTTATTTTTTATCATGTAGCGACATCTTATAATAGTCCAGTATCTATTATCATGCAGCGCTAGCAATTAACATTCCAATCGAACTGTAGCCCAGTGATCAAATTTCATACAGTGGTTGAGCCGACGAGCTTAGTCAAGTCAATGAACAGCTTACATACGCAAAGTCGGTCAGTCAAAAAGTCAAAATCCAGTGTTTTGATTGGTCTGGACGCTTATTGCCATGGTAAGAAGCGATTTTTTTCGATTTTGACTGATCTGTGGGGAGTTCTGACCGATTTACAAAAGTCAGGGGCGCTCCATTAGTCGGAATATCATTAATATTTGACGCGTGGTAAAGTCTTTCCGAGCGCGCGCTCATTCGAAGTGTCATGTTGTAGCTTTGTCGGAAGATTCAATTTAAAGATATCTATGGAAAATTCGGAAATGTCTGCTGCTCCAGACTCCAGTCCTTGTAGTATTCACGAAACGGTTCAATCCGCATTTGCAGTGAATAAATTAGCTGTCTCACAAGACTGTTGCGCTGATCTTGGGAGGAAAATCAACGCTAAATATCGGAGAGTTCCATTCAGTGAGCAGTTGCTAAGCGGCGTATGCGCCACGAATAGCACGAACTACAGTTTGACTGTTTGAGTAGAAGTATTGGCGCCGAGATCTTTATTCTGAAGTGCAATAAGGTAAATTAATTTGATATGTAAATTTTATTTCGTTTTAGACAGCATAACAATATTTATAAGCGAACAAGATGCGCGCCATGCATATGTAAAATTGTAACTTGAATACGCGTATCTTGATTTAGATTTAGCTATGAATTTTGATTTACACAACAAATTGCATATTTGTAATTCTGCGGTTGAAGGTCCGTCAGAACTCTCAAGGCTATTACTATGGAGGATAACCTATATAAATGCTTTAACGCAGTGTACATAGGATATAAAGGTCAGGTTTTATAGATGAATGTTAAGACTTTAATATTGATATATGTTTATTTGAGTAATATGACAGTGTAGTGATTACTAGTCAAGTGATCAATGACTCAACAAGGCTATTAGGCAACAAAAATGAGTGCAGTGCTATCATGAGATAGTTAAACATAATACTAGCAATCCGTAATTTGATAAAATGAAACATCTTCCACAATTATCACATTTCTGCAAGTACTTCTCCTTTACTTTTCCCTAAGGAGCCAGTTGTGAGAGTCAGTCAGACTGATAATTGCTATAATTGTCTCTCATTTCATGAAATGAATTGTTGAAGCTGCTTTCAGAGCGATGCAAAGTGCGTTTCGGAGGTTTAAAAATATAAAAATTCTTGGGGGACAGACCCCCCTAGGTGCCTCGCGCATTCGCCGCCCGCAAAACTAGATTGTACATCCGAAAACTTTGACTAACGTACGAAAAATCCTGGATCCGCTCCTGCAAACGCATTCTATTATTTGAAGAAATTCAGAAATATTTCAAACACGAAAATAATAGTGACGAATATAAGCTCCTTACACTCCAAAGCCTCTTCGCCACAAGATGGACAACAAGAGCCAAAGCAGCTAATGTTATCTTTGATAAAAACGCCGAGCTGCGCACAACGCTGGAAAAGCTAAATAAAGATCCCAATATTTCTGCGGAATCCAAAACAAGGATCCGAAGAATTCTTAAGAGACAGATGTCTTCCTTGCACGTCCCCTTCAAATTGAATATGACGCGAAAGCTTGTTGTTTTGTTTGGAAAGTATTCAAAAGAGCTCACGGAGTCGACAGTTCCGTTGATTATGCTTTGTATTCTTTGCGGCTTATTACACAGAGGTTGAATGAAATGCGTTGAGAAACAGAGTTCGAGCGCATCCTTGATGAAGCCCAGAATGTCCCTGGGAGTGAAGAAAAGGCTCATCGTGGACAAAAGAAAATCTGTAGATCGTTGGAATGCACATTGACGGAAATGCTTCCCTCCACAGCAGATTATGAAAACACGGACCACTTCCGCGGATCATATTATTATGTCTATGATGTGATTGTGGAAAGTATTAACACAAGGTTGGGGAGCAAATCCTGTTAATTAAGATCCATGTTTGAAAGAGAATTTCTGATAGCCTGACGCATGCCTTGATCGACAAAAAAACTGATAACTCAACTGACTATCGACCATCACCGATCTGCCGTCTGCCAGGAAACAGTGCTCTCCCCATTCTTGTAAAACGTTTTATCAACTCACCACACACATTTCGACAAAAAAAAATGCGATAAAAAGTTAATCAAAATTTTATGCTTAAACATACGTTGCGCCATATGTTACTCAATGGATTTTAACATGAATCGCAAATGAAAATAATTTCAATATTCAAACAATAGCTTTGCATGCAATTCCCAACGGTGGAAAGATGTATGTTCGACCGGCAGTTTCAAACTGGATCGTATTTGGCTGTATTTATCGCAATGATACAACGAAGAAAGCATTTGAATTTGAATTTGAATTTGAAATTTAATGAACCCTCCCCAATCAGGGGCTTTTCAGTGATCATACAAAAAATATATCTAAATATATGTACAAAGAACTAATTTATGAACTACCATAAGCTATAAAAGAATATCCTATATATATGCTATGCGTATCTAAAATATCATGATTCTAGAAATTGTCCTGAAAGTTTCTTCTTAAGATCTCTCTTAAAAGCTGGAATGTCATTACATAATTTAAGATTACTATCTAGTGAATTCCATATGGAAATTATTCTGTATGAAAAAGATTTCTGTCCAGTCACAGTTCTAAAACGAGGAATGTTTAATTGCTGGGAATTGCGGGTCACACGGCCAGAGATTTCCTGTCTGGTAGTTAACTGCGTTGTCAAGTAGCCAGGTGCTCGATCAGTCATACATTTGAATGCATAAATTGCATCCCTCAGGTATAGTTGTGTTTTGACGGGAAGCCACCTTAAGGTTTTCAATATAGGTGTTATATGATCAAACTTCCTGGTACCACTGATGATGCGGGCTGCACAATTTTGTACATGCTGCAACCGGGCTATATTTCCAGCAGAGGTAGTTGACCAAACACAGGAGCAATAGAATAGCTTGCCAAAAACAAGCATATGAATAATGGTGGTTAAAAGGGTGGAGTTGAAGGCATGTTTTACTCGGTTGATCTGACCCAGTTTTGACATACAAGATGATACATTTGATGATATATGTGTATCAAAAGATAAGATAGGGTCAAATTTTACGCCAAGCATTCTAGATGCAATGCAAGATTACCCCATGCATATACTTTTTACATTGCAGCACACGCACTGCCTCGATTTCATTAATTATTTTCTAAACAGGCGCTATATAAACGCTTTAATTGTTTGTGTCGTTGTCCTCTCGTCGTCATTGTTGTTGCTTACGTTGATGGTACATTCACAGTGAATGTTGTTGCTAATTTTTTTGCCAAGATTCAAAACTACGCACTACACAAATTGTATAAAATACATTTTATTATGCTTTGTCAGATTTAGCCAGAATAGCCAGTACGTACATGTCTTGTGAACTTACTGCCACAATAGTAAATAGCACCACCAGACTCCAACCCAACTATCTTCGAATAACCGGCTGAAATATGCGTGAATGGAGGGCTTGGAATGTATCTCTATTTAGTTCCTGTTGGCCTAGAGGATGAAACACCATCTTGGACGAAAAGGTTCTTTCGAACATTAACTCCATAAACATTGTCCTCTTTGTCTACCTAAAACAGCACATTAGATTTCCGTCAGAAAGTGCTTAATATTTCGTTGTAAGTAGTAATATATGTCCGTTTGGACCGGATTTTTTGAGGGTGCGGTAATTAATATTCATACAAATGAGGGTGTGTTAATTAATATTTATACATATGAATGTGCGTTCATAAAATATTCAGTAAATGAGAGTTAGTGAGCACTAATTACCCAGAGTAAGCAAATTAAATATTCAGTAATTGAGAGTGTGTGAGCACTGATTAGTGAAAGTGAGCAAATTAAATATTTAGTAAATGAGAATGAGTGAGCACTGATTAGTGAGAGAGAGCAAATTAAATACTCAGTAAATGAGAGTTACTGAGCACTAATTACCCGGAGTGAGCAAATTAGATATTCAGTAAATGAGAATGAGTGAGCACTGATTACACAGATGGAGAAAATTGAATATTCAGTAAATGAGAGTGAGTGAGCACTAATTGGCGAGAGTTAGCGAATTAAATATTCAGTATTTGAGAGTGAGTGAGCACTGATTACTGAGAGTGAGAAAATTAAATATTCAGTAAATGAGAGTGTGTGAACACTGATTAACGAGAGTAAGCAAATTAAATATTCAGTAAATGAGAGTGTATGAACAGTAGTAAAAGACCCCACTCTGGAGTTCAAAGGGATGCCGCCAATTCCGCTAATGACGTCACTTTGCTCAGCTAGCACTCTAGCAACGGAAGTAATTAGTATGCAAAACTATAATGCCACTTTGCTGGCCCTAACCCTAACCTTGGGCCAACTTTAACAGGTAGCGCGACCAATCATGCGCCTTGCTGGAAATGTATGGAACATTTTGAGTATCTCTCAACAAGTGGACATTCTCTTACATGGTTCAAGAAATCTAAGTTTTCAAGTAAATGCTGCAATTTTCTCTGAAGTACAATGGTATATTGGTAGTTCTGCACGTTTCGCATAGGATGTTTATGCAATTGCCAAGCGATCCTTTTTTGTCCGTACTTGTGGTGTTAATTGTAATGTAATATTGTAATTTATGTTTGCATGAACCCCCTCCATGAGCTCTAAGCTCTTGGGGTAAATTGTATCAAAATAATGTTTAAATAAGCCGGACCCCCGAAAAATTGAAGCCATCAGAAATATGGATCCCCTACACGTCTCCCAGACCTGCAGATCTTCCTTGATATGGTTCAATATATTGGTCGGTACCTTCCAAATCTAGCCTCTGTTTGAGCAGTCCTATGAGATCTTACAAAGAGCGCCAATGAGTTTCAATGGAATCCTGAACACCAACAGGGAGCAGATAAGGTGAAGAAACTCATCGCCTCCCCTGGTAGCCACCAGTTTTTTACGGTAGCAAAACAGTCACTATACAAGTGGATGCGTCTATGCGTGGTTTAGGAGCCACATTGCTTCAAAGTAAAGGTCCTGTGGAGTATCGAAATAAAATCCTCTCAGAGACAGAACGTCGCTATTCCAATATTGAACGGGAGACGCTTAGTATTGTTTACGGTTTAGAGAAATTCCAATACTATGCATACGGTCGGCATGTGACAGTCGAGACAGATCACAAACCTTTGGAGGCTATCTTCAAGAAACATCTATCCTGTGCACAGCCACGTATAGCCAGAATGATGCTACGTATCCAGAAATATGACGTAGTGATCAAATACGTTCCGGGGAAAGAAATACCATTGGCCGACGCACTGTCATGATTAAACACATGCATGCTATACAGGCACTTTTAAAGGCTTGACGTGTCTATTCATGAGCTACACATGCACCTCAACGCAAGTCCAACCCGAGTCCAGCATATCCAGACCGAAACTGCCAAGGACCCTATTCTCAATTCGCTTAAGTCATTTATCAGCCGGGGATGGCCAGATAAGAGATCGGACTGTCCATCACATCTTCACGGATACAGGAATTATCGCGATGAGCTCACGGTTGCTAACGGATTAATCCTCAAAGGAACCCGCATCATCGTACGAAAGAGTTTACAGACAGAAGTCCTTGAGCAACTTCATTATGCACACCAAGGTGCAGAAAAATGCAATTCCGGGCTATAGGTTCCGTATTCTGGGCAAGCATTAATGCTGATATAGAGAACATGTGAAGGGTTGCAGTCCGTGCCAACCCAATCAACGTGCGAATGTAAAGGAACCGCTTACACCTCACGACATTCCACCTAAACCATGGCACACACTTGCCTCTGACTTGTTTTTTGGAACAATGGGCCTTACCTTCTGGTATTGGATTGTTATAGCAAGTTTCCTTCGATTCGTAATATCCAGTCAAACACTGTTATTGCATGCACATCTAAGATCCATCTTTGAAGAGCATGGAATTCCAAGTAAATTTGTTACTGGGAGCGACACTCAGTTTACTTCATCAGGCTTCACGGAATTCAGTTAGGCATATGGTTTCGAACATGTTACAACTAGTGCTTACTATTCGCAAGCAAACGGGTTTATCGAAAGGAACGAGCAGACGGTGAAGAATTTGTTACAGAAATGCAAAGAGCCCGGATCGGATCCACATCTCTCTATGATTTGTCTGCGAACAACACCCATCAACCATCACCTGCCGTCACCTGCAGAAATGTTGAATTCCTGAACCTATGCATACAACCTTCCTAGTTTGTCTAAACCAACTTTGTTTCCAAAGATAGACTTTGGTGTCCTTACTTCGATACGAGAGTAGACTGCGATCTTTAAACCCTCATATGTTTATGCTGAAAGAAATATTATCTGTCCAGCATCAGCAAAAAAAATTCCATCTCGGTTGAAAGTACTCTCTTTTCAGGTTTCGAGGTAGTTGAGGAACGTGTCTTTCAGCCAGATAAAGCGATAGTCATCAGGGGTGGTCAATCGCATGATGAATGGATTCATCTTCTGCTTATGCTCAGTCAATGACCTGACATTTGTGCAGTCAAAAAAATCAATTTATCATGTCACAGTAATCAGCTGTGCCACTAACACCTTCTTCGGTTTCTCTGAGAGTGATACCAACTGATTTGCTCAGGACCTGGACTGGAAGCTTGACATTGATCTTGCTGTAGGGCGTCAAGACAATATGCTCCAAGGTCAGTTCGGTAGCGTATGTAGTGCACATTCTTGGTCACTTTAAAACGCGTATGCTAAATTCCGGGATAGCACATACTTCCCATCATTCCACATAAGGCGACTTCGATTCCAAGACCCAGAATTGTAAGGACAGTTCCTAGCTCGCAGTCTTAAGTAAATGTGGGAATCTGTCAAATAGAAAACGAATCGGGATGGTGCATAAATGTTTGGTGTTTTATACACTACACTACATTACAATCCACATCTTTCACTAGCTTGAAATGTCAGAGGAAAAATTTCCGGTTTGGCGAAGCAACATCAATAACTGGAGCACACATGAAGGTTCAGTTACACCTCCAAAACAGCTACAGTTCTCCAGAAGAATGTGACATTTCGTGTTAAGAAATATGCAATGATATGATTCAAATCAGTGCATGATTCCCTCACAAGAAGTGCTAACGCGTGGGTTACAGTGGGATCCTCATCTTCATCAGACAGACTTGCAAAGTTTGTCATTGGAACTCCTCGGTCGATTAAGCAATCTAGATCTCCAGAAAGTTTGCAGAAGACAAGGTTATACCGGATTTTCATCTGATTCATTACGACCGCAACTTATCTTTCAACTGGTGAAAAAGAGGAGGTTTTCTCACGGATACTTTCAAAATTCTCCTTACTGATGCCAACTTTCGATTTAACGTACTCCTTGTAGTCACGAAGAACTCATTCGCTCGGCTGAATAAGGGCACCACTATCTCCGAACTCTCTGTATGAGGATTTGCTGTGGATAGAAAGAGTAAATCATGTCACTTGTGGATGGTATATTCTACCCATTTTGGATGACTGTAAAAGCTTCATCTGCTCTTGGCAAAATAACTTCATGTGTGGTGTTGCTTCAAGGTTTGTCCTCCCATTATCGTGCGAATGTCCTTCTCAAGGGCTTCGCTAACACAAACGCCAAGTTGCTAATCTACTTCTGGAGTTATTGAAGGCGATCCTCCAGGTTACAGTTACTCTCAACGCCTCAGACACACATGCAGATAATTGTGCTTTAGGTTTAGTTGGAGCAGTAGAAGATTTGCTCTTAGATTTTGCAACCCTCTTTACTGCATTCAAAGCAGAAATGCAAACTTTGCACGTCTTCTTTTAATGTTCAGTGCCAGTGACTATCCGGCAACCGACCGCCCGGTAAGAAAAGAATATTTCAAAATGAAGGTCTTCGACTCCGATGGATTTGGGCGGAGAATGGCGAAGGATTGAGGTAGGAATAATATTAAACGTAGGGTCTTAATATTAAACGAAGCCATTCTGCTCGCGCAGTTTGCTTCTAAGATTTCGTATGGTCGCTGTCTGAGGCGGCGACAGTAGGGATTCGAAATAGAAGTTTAACTTTTTCACTTCTCGAACACCCGTAAAAACGAAGTTTGAACCAGGCATTACATTTCCCTGTGTGATCGAGTGGTTGAGAGCTTGGTAAGCGCGATTATCTGCAAAAAAAACCAGCCCTCGAGTCTGGGAGTGATTATGTTGTTGTTTTTTTGTAATATGAGCTTTCAGCATCGATGCACGATATTGGTCATATGACCAAAATAAAAAAGTGAACCATAACATATTTTGTGACGTAACTGGACAGCCTAACCAGTCTTATTCTACTAACTGTGAGTGAACATGACGATTTATATTTTACAAATTGTGTTAATGCACATGCGTATGATATCTTGCTTATGTCCATCAAGCATTGCCAAAAAGTTATGTGAATATATGCCGAGAGTTGGATTAAAATTATTTTGCGAACTTTTGGTTGTGTGGAAAGGTAAAACACGTTCAACTATAGGGGTCAATATTCTATTTAGCCAAAAATGGTGCCAGTTTTCGTATTTTTAAAGAAAATTGCACAAAACTAAAAAACACAGAAAAGTTGGTACTTAAAAACACCTTTTGTGCAAAAATAAAGAATGCATATTTTCTTCTCTTGCCAAACCAATCAAATTTACATAAAATTAACAATACATTTAATAGACTATTCTGAAAAGGGTCAAGTAACGCAAAAGTAGCATGACAGCTAACAGTGAATGTAAAGGATCGCACTTTGAACGCGGCCAAGTTTACTGAACCGTCCCGAAACGAACTAGACGAACAAACCAACAGCAAGCGCATAGACTCTTTTTTCGTGGTCTCAAGTTGTATGGCAAACGTATATTTGTCCAAGACAGTACGTAAAAACTATAATAAATAATAATTACAAGTTACCAAAAATCTATCTACTTAATGCTACGATCGTGAACAAATATATTACAATTATAAATTAATACAGTATCTGATCATGGTATAAACGTCAAGTTATATCCTGTACCTCTGTCCACGCAGATCCTTTTATATGAACTCTTCCTTAATATTCTCTCATGTATCACTGTTCGATTTCAGACAACCTTCTTGTAGCAAGCGCTCTAACTATAACTACACAATTTAAAAATTCTACCTACTAATTTTTTGGGGGTTAATTATTTATTCATGCATATATTATAATTAAAACTATTTTGACTTGCTAATTAGAAGTTAATTCTTAACATGGCTCCTCTAAATTTTATAGCAATTTAACTATTTAAAATAAAAACTTATCGTTTATCGACATCAACAGTTCACCACTCATTATTATGATCCTGGCTTTACGCATGGCTCCTCGTCAGGGACTCCCCGGTATTCATACTCCTCTCTGGACAGGAGAAGAACCAATTTCTGAACAGGTTGATCTAAATAGGAAATATGTCGTTTTCGTCTTCCTTGGTCGCCTAAAGTACTTGTCAGCTAAAACGATTTTGACCTTCCGAACAAGTCCGTCATTCTCGGGATATGTCTCTACAATTCTTGCGAGCTTCCATCGATTGCGAGGCATCTATATCCTTCACAATGACCACATCTCCAATTTTAAGATTCTTTCGGGGACGCATCCATTTTTGCCGTACTTGTAGGGATTGAATAAATTCGTTTCTCCAACGGTACCAAAACTTGTTAACCAGATACTGAACCCGACGCCATCGCTTTCTCAAATAAGTTTCTGCACTCTGAAAGTTTCCAGGAAGAGGTAGAATGACTTTGCTCTTCATCGTCAGCAAGTGGTTAGGGGTTAGAGGTTCAAGGTGATCTGGATTTTCAATGGTTAGCGGGCTGATGTTTACAATCGCTTCGGCTTCCACCATGAAGGTTCGCAATGACTCGTCGTCCACAATGGTTCCATGGTTGTCCAGTAGAACTGTCAAAACGTTTCGTACAGTTCGTATTTGACGCTTCCAGACGCCACCCATGTGACTCGCATGCGGTACATTCATTCGCAATTCAATCCAGTCACGATTTTCTTCCAATAGTTTCAGTTTTATAGCCTTCTGATTCATTTCTGTTAGCGCTTCTTTCAGTTCATTCTTGCAGCCGACAGAGTTAGTACCTCGATCTGATCTCAGGTGACGCACTGGACCCCGACGTCCAATAAACCGACCATAGGCGTTTAAGAATGAACTGGTATCCAGACTGTTGGCTGTCTCTAAATGAATAGATCGTGATGCCAAACAAGTGAATAAGACTCCATATCTCTTAACTGGTCGGCGTCCTTCTTTAATTAGCCAAGGTCCAAAATAATCGACCGCGCTGAATGTGAACGGTGGAGCAGGGTCCAGACGATCTTCTGTCAGATCTGCCATTTTCTGTTCCTACAATGAACCTCGAAGTTTTCTGCATTTTACGCACTTTGAAATGTTTCTGGCAACGGCTGATCGTCCACTAATGTTCTAGAATCCGGACGATCTGATGTTGTTATGCGTCATTCCGCGTCCCTGGTGTGCAACCTTCTGATGATGGTGACAGATAACTGGCTCGGTCATACGGCCTTTTCTTGAAAGGATACATATGTGCTTAACGTTCTCAGGAACACTTGCACGTCTGATTCGGCCACCCACACGCGGAATACCATCTTTACCAAGGAACGGATCTAGTTGATAAATTGAACTCGATTTTTTCAATTTCACAGTTTTTCTGACTTGGTTTCGAACATCTCCGGGTGGAGGGGTTATGTTCTGTGGATCCAGATGACGTAATAAAACAATCTCATCGTCGAATGCTTTGTTCTGAACAATCTTGATGATTTCGCTTTCAGCATCCTGGAGTTTATCGACGGTTACTGACTTGTAGGACAACTTTTCTTGCCTGGTAGCCTTGATGCTTTTATTCACTAGCTGTTTCAAATCTTTACTAATGGGATTTGTTTGTCCGTCATCTTCGATTTCTTTCCGCTTCGGCTTGTTACCATCGGAGGCTGACGAACTCTTCTGACGCAGCTGACTTGTAAGTCTCTTTCGAAAACGAAGACAAAGCGAAATAGCTCTCTTGGCTTGATACCAACTAGAAAAACGACGCAAACCTTCTTCAATGTCTGCTAGTTCCTTGACCTCAGTGACAAGTGTGGAAATCCTTCTCACTTCGGAGTCATCTGGAGAAACAGCGACTGCGTTCTCGATTACACCCCGCTGTGTGTCGAAATTGGTCCAAAGGAAAACGGGTCCATGCCACCACTCTTTCTTGTCAATTAAGTCTTGGGCGTAAAGACCACGGGAAGGATAACCAGCTGGATTTTCTGTCGACTCTACATATCTCCATTGAGCAAGTGAAGTGAGGTCACGAATCTGTTCAATACTGTTTGCGACGAAGACATGGAAACGACGCGCACTGTTGAAAATGTACCCAAGTACGACTTTACTATCGGACCAAAAGAACTCATTGACTTGCTCGTACTCTAACTCCCTTTTCAATAACACCCCGATTTTTGCCGTCACCAACGCAGCAGTAAGCTCTAGTCGAGGAATTGTTACAAGCTTCAACGGTGCCACTCGAGATTTTGCCAATATCAACGAACAATGAATCCGACCCACATGGTCAACGAGCCTCAAATAGGAACACTGTCGTCCGTAACCAATTTCACTTGCGTCCGAGAAGTTGTGCATTTCCACTACTTGGATTTCTCCAAAGTCGACTTGTACATAACAACGAGGGATACTACTTAGTTTTGCTAACAGTACTACTTCGTTTCTCCATCTTTCCCACCTGGACAACAGATAATCTGGATCTTGTCATCCCCAATTCGCTCCATCTCTACACAACTCTCGAAGCACTCTCTTTCCAATTATCACGAACGGAGCAAGGACTCCCAAGGGGTCAAACACAGAACTCACTGTTCACAAGATGCCTCTTCTTGTATGTGGTCGGTCAGCTAATTCAATCCGAAATTTAAGAGTATCAGATTCCACGCACAACTGGACTCACAGGGCTCTCTCAATTGGAAGGGCATCACGAGTTGGATCCAGGTCCAGAATACCTTTCGCGCGTTTCTCGGGGGGGGGGAATTGCTTCAACAACTTCCTTATTGTGGAGATTATCTTGTGAAGACGAATGCCTCCTTTCTTGCATAGCGTTTTGGTCTTCTGGATTAGATCGATAGCATTGGTGGGCGTGGAAACCGACTTTAGTCCGTCGTCAACGTAGAAATTATCTCTCACAAAGTTGGCTGCTTGGCTTCCACATTCTCTTTCGTAGTCATCAGCTGTCGTCTTCAGACCAACGTTGGCGCAACCAGGTGATGAAGTTGCTCCAAATAAATGCACTGTCATTCAGTACACAATTGGTTCCCTGTCCAAATAACCATCCTTCCAACATAGGAAACGAAGGAAATTTCGATCGTTGACATTCACCATCACTTGGTGGAACATAGCCTCGAGATCGCACGTGAAAGCAGTGTTATCATGGCGGAAACGACAAAGAACACCCTGCAGACTGTTTGTAAGGTCAGGTCCCGGTAATAGAGTTTGATTTAGGGATTGTCCTTTGCATACACCACTACAATGAAAGACTACTTTTATCTTGTCAGGTTTTCTATGATGATAGACACCATGGTGCAGTAGATACCAAATTCAACCGTCGTCCAATTCCATCTATTCCAGAGGAACAAGTTCGGCGTTGTTACTAGCAATGATTCCATTAAAAAATGTCAGGTATTCCTTTTGATATTTCTTGTCTCTCCTTTCTGACTTTTGTTATTGGGCAGCTTCGTCATCTTTGAAAGGTAGGGGTATTTCATCATGACCATCTTCACGTTGATGGATTCCTTTCTTGGCCTTCTTAATGAACATCTTATCTTCGTAGGAAAGAGGTTGTTCCTCTTTGCTTCGTTCACTGAAATCTAACTCGAACATTTGATTAAACATAATCTCCTTGACCTGTGCTCTCAAGGCCAAATGACAAATCCTTCTGTCTGGACCAACATTGGCTTCGTGTGTGATGATTCGATTCACAACAACGTATTTCTCGTCGGATTCTTCGTTTACCTTCGCTTCGACAATGGCAACGATTCCCCCCAGCCAAGCGCAGTCCTTTTCGCGTAAGGGTCATCATTATTACCAGGTATGATTTCACGTGGTTTGATCGCTCGTGCGCAATTTGTGCCAATGAGGAGTCCAACCACCACCTCGTTTCGGAATGGCATAAAAAATTCAGCAATCTTCTTCAGGTGTGATCATTTACGGGCCGATTCTGGTCTAGGAATCTGTCCATGTCTTGCTGGGATTACCTCCTGGGTGTACGTTTCAGGGAGTGTAATTTCACTCGTTTTGTTAACACCACGAACTGTTAAACCAGCGATCTTTCGACTGTTTACGGTTTCTCGTGCCAATACTGTTGAAAACTCGAGTTGAACTTCAGGACCATCAACTCCTACTTCATTCAGGACAGAGCCCTTAACGAAGCAAGCAACTGACAGTTCATCCAAAAGCGCGTATACCATGATTTTGTGACTCCGGTTGGTTTTATGATGCAGCCAAACAGGAACTATGAGCGAATGTGAGATTGACCCAATGTAAATGTTCGTTTTACAAACTTCAATGCAGTTGGAAATGGTTGTATCTTCATTCGAACTGTCTTTGACTTTATTCGGTTCTTGTCTCGTTTTGGGAGAATCGTCTTTCGGTTTCGTAGCCAAACTCGATCTTGACTTCCGATTATCTCCGTGAAAAGAATTTGGGTGTGCTTCACTGCAAACCTTGCATATCTTTCTTACGCGACAGTTACTGTTCAGGTGGCCCGTTTCATGGATCCACAACACAAACGTTTCGCGATGATAAATTCTCTCTTACCATCCGTATGTAGTCGATTGTTCCCGGCTAAGCCACCAAATTTTATTGGCGTGTTCGCCAAATCATCAATACGCCCTGGTAGTATCGATCTTTCATGTTGTAACACAAACACATCGGCCGAATCCGCCAGAACGGCTTCTGCTATATTCGAATCGCTTGTTTTGGCCATGCTGTGGATGCAATTGAATAGTCTTGTTGTAATAGCTGACGTTGGTATTCTTCTCCCTTGAGGGTAGGAATTCTTTCTCGTTGACTTTTACGAATACCGCTCTCGAAAGCCATTTTTCCTTCAGTAACGCCGTCTTCGTCGACTGTGATCTTCTTAAATTCCGCCGCCATGTTCAGCTAAACCATATACTGTTGATTTTGATGTCTTTACCAGGAACAAACGGCATTTTAAACACGGGACAGATTTTACTGTAAAGAATCGGATTTTGAACGCGGCTAAATTTACTGAACCGTCCCGAAACAAACACGACGAACAAACCACAACAAACGCATAGACTCTTCGTAGCCTCAAGTTGCAATCTCGTTCCCAGGGCTTCAGTGTGAAGACGAGGCGAGACACGAGGAAGCCCTGGTCTGGGCCGGTCAATTTTTCATTCTGATTGGCTAAC